GAATTGAAACTAAATTTCCACTTATTGAAAGATGCCACAGAAGCTTTAGCAGTGCAGATATTTGCTGTCATCCTTCTGAAAGTGCTGGAAATATCCTCTCTGCTGTTTATCGAGAAAGTGCAGCAGTTTGAAAGGAGACGTGAAACAAATGGAGCCATAACAATCCTTCCTTGAACAGGGTTAGGAGTGACTGAGGGAGAGCAGCCAAAAACAGGACAACAAGGACTATTTCTGTGGTGTTCTCTCATCGCGTGCTGTTGCTGTGATAACATTTCATGTCCAAACCCACTTTGTCTCTTACTGGTAAAAAGAACTGAGGATTTATGGAGCATCACAAAGAGCCTAGATGATTATTCATTTATTTTTACTGCAAATATTAACATCACTTTCTTTGTCCTAAACGAAAGCCTGTTGCAAGAAACAAAAGAGAAAAGGAGATGAAAGGTTAATCATATTCAAGAATGAATAAATAGTAAATTGAAATAAGTAAAATGTTGACTCATTAAATTCCACTCCTTCAATAAAGTCTTCCACTTGCTGCACAGCTGTAGCCGAATAAAACTCAGTAGAACTGAGTATGAAAAGCAGACTGTACCCTGAGGGTGATTTTAGTTAAAGACAGATGTTAAAACATGGTAAAAGACCATTTATGGGACACATCAAACTTCTTAGTAGAGATTACCTGTCATGGATTCAGAAACATGGTTCCTAAGAGCAACTTGTCCAGTCCATGTTGATCACATTCTTTCATCTTCAAGAATTTAAAATCATGAGCAAAACTCCTGAAATTTGTAAAACTATTATTTTATTTCACAAATACTGTAAATTATCTGTGCACCTTTAGAATTAAAGCATTCAACAACGAGTACAATTACAAAAATAGAACAATAGATGATTGTTATAGATCTGAGTGTAGAGGTTAGGTTTATGCACTCTTTATAGAGACTATATGCATTACTAATATTGGCAGGATATAGAGGAAATTTGTTCTAATCTCTTACTGACGCATGGTGCTTTTTATATGTCAGTTTTATATGTCAGTTTAAGAACCAATGCCACCATTTTTCAAACACAGCATACACGCAAACATGCCTTTTCTTTTGATGAGTTGCACATTTGCAAATTAAATGGTTAACTCCTCTCAGACCTACAATAATGAAATGGTTTATACATATTTCTGCATTTCTCTAGAAAGAAAGTGCCAAAGGGCCTCTGATCTTGATAATTCTGCACATTTTATTCATAATTGTTCCTATTTTGCTGTGTGTGTGTGTGTGTGTGTGTGTGTGTGTGTGTGTGTGTGTGTGTGTGTGTGTGTGTGTGTGTGTTTGGATCCGAAGCTTTCTTCTGGGAAATCAGCCATCCTCCACAACTCATCTCTGCATATCAAACACCACGGAGAACTTCTAAATAAAGACGAGGCATAACTTGTAATAATACCCAGCAGCCCGTTGATTGAGTGAATAATATTCTTGCTGTGTACAGGCTGGAGTACACCACAAAGCAAAAACGTGACTATTAGCTCGCCTGACAGAAGTGTTTTGAAAAATGAAGACGTGGTTTTAATAAAGAAGGCCTGGTTTGCAGTAGGATGTGAGCGAATATATATATGCACTCAAACCGGCCAAAGCTAAACAGAAAAGGGAAGGATAACACGTGTACATGCCCAGATGTCTTGTGTTCTTTCATTCTAAAGGTAGCAAACCAGTCACCCACCACAAAATAATCTAAATAATCACGACACAACACCGGGAACTGATCATCCTGTTCTTCAGATAGATCGATAGTTGAACTGTGAACGCTGTAGGCGCAGACTGTAGGTGTTCAGAATAATCAGTGTATTTAAATTATTGAAACATACGTATTCTTTTATCTTAAAATGATACAAAATCAAATGGCCCATTTGCCACACAATGATGGATATTGTCATTAATATTTGTATAAGCCTAAACAGTCTCTTTATGATTTATCATCGTCAAGTAAAATTAAGAATATTAAACTTTTTTTTAAAATTTCTCGTTGTTTTCACAATTTTATTTAAAATCCTACAAATTTGTCATTTAAGTCTAGACTTTAGTTGTATTCAGTCGTAAAAAAGATTTAAAATTAAGCAGTAATAATTAAAAACATAGCTGAATGCATTTATATGAACCGGGTTCATTTGATATAGTCTTTTTAATCTTATACACATTCTGGTGTAACAAATAATTGTAATAAAAAGTGCACACACGAAATTAAAATGATCCATTTTATTCCAAACACACTGAAAGATTTTAAAAACATCCGTGTTGAAAGCATTTACTTCAGGGAATCAGATTCAGTATTTGGTAGCCTTGTCGGTCTCAGATCAGGCGCACATCATTAGATTAAATTAAACTAGACGAAATCTTAAAGATCCCGTCGGGAAAAGCAGGCAGCTGCGAAAGAGTGAAGTTGGGTATCATTCCGTGGAGTGAAACGGGATGCAGGAGGCAGGAGGTCGGAGGCAAAGATCGCACAGCGGCGCAGCATCCGGCGTCCAAATGTTCCAAGTTTTGACAAGAAGGGAAATTTTTGGAGAGGATCGAGGAAAGCGCAGGTGTGACGCTGCTTACAGGTGGTCTGTTGGGGATAACCCGGGACTCGAAACCACTTTCTAGATCCTGATCTCGGTACAAATCGGGACTCTGGAGACTAGAGACCACCCTGCGCACTCCGAGGAGAGGAAAAACGGGCATCAAAGTGAGCTCCTGCGCCCTGGAGCCTTTCATCGGTGCCAAATATAAACTTTGCCGCTTAAAGCGTTTCCTGCGACGAAGAAAACTCCCATTTTCAAACATATCCGCCGACATGGGATCCAGAGTCCAGTAATTCCCCTTGCCTGGGTTCCCGGGTTCCCGGGGCATTTTGACAAAGCAGTCATTCAAAGACAAGTTGTGACGGATTGAGTTTTGCCACGAAGGGAACTTCTCCCGATAATAAACAAAGCGCTGGCTGATAAAATCGCATATCTCACTGAGAGTGAGCCTCTTTTTGGGGCTTTGGAGGATGGCCATGGTGATGAGAGCGATATAAGAGTACGGAGGCTTCACCGAGGTAATTCTCCTTCCGGGACCCTCCTGCAGTCGGACTTCAAAGTCGTCCTCTCCCTGCACGCCAGGAGAAAAGGATGAAGGCCGTCGCTCCAAGTCTACATTACTCTCCCCGAACACTGATACATCTGTCCTCCTCACAACTTCTCTGCAGTCCGCCTGGCCCCCCACTTCAATGTCCGCCTCATCCATGGGCTTGTTGTCCAGCGTCATGATCCGGACTGTCCGGTAGGCCCCAGCGGGCGAGATTCAGTGCCTGTCTAGGACAGAAAGTGGAGACCCCCTCGTTTCCTTTCATTCACAAAAAAAGTCGCGCATCTGACTGCATCCTGACTTTTGAGCCTCCCACTCCGAACTTCCCCCTCCTCCTCACGCAGTCTGTTTTAACACAGCTGCAGGTATCCACAAACCTGAAGCTGTGGGGGGGAAACACTTTATTTAATCAAAGATAGAGAAATTAAATGATGATACTGAAGGCGTGGTTACACTAATTACACTAACTCGTGCATATTTTCTCCAGTGTATACACGCTTTAACTATAGTTGTTTGTTTTAAAAAAAAATAAAGGTCTTAATTTTATTCTTTTCTTCCTTCTTTATATGTTGTTTTTTACTGTTGTGATTTGCTTTCAAGTACATTTAAACTGCACGTCCATGATGCATATTATTTATTTATTAAACTTTTTGGGGATCTACACAGTTTTCTGACTCAGTAATCGTTGCGTGTGTACCGATTAAGTTGTTCTTTTTCTTGGCTATTATGCCACTTCGTGTTCTTATTTATTGTACCCTTTTTGTGTACAGAACTTTGCGACTATAAAAAAAAGACTTAATACATTTCATTTGCTAGATTTGATGAACGGTATACATAAAGCAGTAAAACAATGCCTTCTAATTAAAGTGAAACTGCAAAAGCAAAACAGAAAAAGTATTTCGGCCTTAACATTGTACAATAGGGTTGGAGAGCCAGGCTTAGCCATTTTATCTACTATCTGCTAATTGAACAATTAGCCGTATTTTATGTACCCATAATGTTTCAGCAACAATTAAAATGAATAAATCTCCACAGAGGTCTTTAAGCAAACGTAACTGAGTAAATGCATAAGGCTCGTCTTTGAACTGCACTCCAGTATCAGAAGTACAAAGCTGGACAGGCTGCCAAGTACCATAAAATTTGATTTGTGCACATTCATTCATTATTGATTATAGCTGATGTTTAAATGACCGCAGCAGGTGAGACGTTTTGGAGCATGTGTAATGTAAAATAAGAGCAGGCATATGAATTTCATTGAGCTTGAGCTCTCTTTTATGTCCTTGGCTTACATAGCGCTCATTTCCTTCAGTATTGCTCTTTGCTGGATGGTTTAGCACATGGCAAGAGAGCCAACTCAAGAAGACGTAATCCATTTTGAAATAATAGCCGCACTGTATCAATCCGTGCGAGGCCACCCACTTGGCCAGCAGGCCTGTAGTGCATGGTGGGCTGAAGGAACTGTGGGAAGCCTCATTACTGAACCTTTCTTCCCTCTCACTGTACTTTAATTTGATATGTGCACCCATTTGAAACCAATTTATCATTTTACAGTCACTGCAATACTAAGCTAAATTCTTAAATGAAGAACGGGGAGACACAGGTTTGTTCATGAATTTAATACAAACAAAAACCCATGCAAACACACACAAAACCCCTTTTCCCCATCTCACAGAAACCAGCAATACTAAGGAAATCTACACACCGATTTAACAAGCCAAATAAAATAATGCTCAGAAACAATGGCCCAAATAAATACCAAAGAAAAGTGACCACTTATTACAACCACAATTAGAAAAAACAACAAAGACAACAAAATAAATAGCTTGATTTAACTTGTTCAACTAAATGTATCTGATGAACTTAGTAACTGAACTGTCGCTGTCAGGATTAGGAGCAGTAGGAGTGTTTTACAGTTAATAACAGTGAAAAGCAGCACTGAGCTCAGGGCCTGTACAGAAATAACTTTCTATTACAGCTGTCGGGTACTACTGACCATTATATGTAAGCGACACTGAAGCTATTTCGATGAAAATTTTCACGACTAAACTTTCCACTGAATGCGTCACTTTCTGACAGTGGTCCTTCAGTATCCCATTTATTTGTATAAAGGATTCTCAGCTCTGCTACAAAGTCTGTGCGTCCTCAGTATATCCCTCTTGGTGAAAAAACAAAAAACAAAAAACAAAAAGCAAACCTTCTAAGCTCCATCACACATGCTAAATACAAATTAAGGAGCAGAAATAGGATCAGTACAGAAAAGACTTTTTTCTCCATACAAATTTAAATGTTTTACAAGTTGTTTTATTATTACTTTTTTTGACGCACACAGTCATAGAGGTAAATGTGTACTATTGTCTGAGGTACAGTGCTATAACAGTAAAACGAATTTAAATACCTTGAGTCAGGTAAGAGGTAGTCATATCTGTAGTGAACTGTAAAGATTTACGAGAGCAGCGAGTATTGTTTCAAACTGTTGTGTGCGTCTGTGCAAAGCTCTGTCACATGTGGGCATAAAAACCTGCGCTGTGTGCAAGTTCCCTAGGTGGTGTGTTTCCGCTGAGCTGAGGTCAGCCTCACAAAGTTTCCACACTTGAGGCAGCACGAGTTGGAGTTGCCCTCTTTCCGAGGGATATGCCAGCAGTTGACACAGCGCACCCTGTACTTCTTATACCTTCAAAAGTAAGAGAAAAAAAATGCAGTGGTGGTTCAACTATTTGCCCTTTAATGCTCAGGTGCATAAATGCTATTTAGTCAAATTATCATAGGCAGATGACTGATTTATAATAATACTACAAGGTATTTTACAAACATGGACATTTGATACTTTTCCAAAGTAGATTATCTGCACATTCTTTTGAGCCCAGCACTACTCCTTATTTCCAAAGCTAACCTGTGTTTATTTCTGAAAGAGAAATTATGAGCCAGTGAGTACTAACATACAGTTTCATGCAATCATGAGATTAATGCATTAGTCTGGGAAGTCATGCATGAAGTAAAGTTTCTGTAAGGTGCAGTCAGACTCTTGTGAGAATGGAAAAAAATAAGTTGATCGTTTCTGTTGTTTGTGAGGCCTGAACTTGTTTAACTGCACAGTGTTGTGGCAACTGACTGCTCAAAACATGATGAAAAATGCTGGCAAAATAAGTAAACATCAACACAAACTGATTTGGAACAGGATTCCACAAAATACAAGTTAGAATATATTAATTCCTTTAAGCTATAATTCAACATCATCAATGTGGACTCAAAGAAAATTTTAGACTCTGTTAAAAATCACAATAATCCAACTGATTATTGTGATCAGCCCTAATGCACAGCTTCAGTGTTTAAGACATTGAATATTGAATATCGAGCTACCTTATCCCACAGGCATTGCACAGTGGAGTCCCGTCCTCGGCATCTCTCCACATGGGGGTCTTCCTGGTGCAGCATGATGCACAAACTTTGCCCTCTAGTGAAACAGAAATGAAAGATTAAGCAAATAGCAGTAAAACTGAACTGAGTGCGCTTAAATCACTTATTTCCAAGCATATTTTTTTTTATCTGAATTAAGGAAGTGTTTTAATGCAACCAAACATTGCGACTACATTTGCAAAAATCATTTAACCTCCTAGGACCTGGTGTCCACATATGTGGACATCACATTTTGGGTTGTCTAGACCACAATACTAAATTTCGCTCTACAAGGTCCTGATATCCTCCTCTCGGAAACTACATCAGGTAAAAAGATGATTCTTTATTTTTACATTTATCAGCTCCCAATCAGCCCAAATAGCAAAGAGAAATTAAAAATGCATGCCATGAAAGAGTTCAGGTCTTAGGAGGTTAAAGATACATTTGTAATTTTACGCCTCAAAAACTTTATTGAATTATTAAACAATAACCGACTCCAGACAATAACCTCAATTGAGCGAAAGACATTTATATTTTTTAAAAATACAACTACAATCTACAACTTCACTGGAACATTTATACTGCATTTTCTGTTAACTGACCAATATATGGGAACAAGGCTGCATATCTGTCGAGAAGATTGGCTCTTTGGTCTTTAAATGCTGGAAATACAGCGCACTGACATTCCCACTTTACCAAAAATGAAACATAAGCAAATGTCAAATAGTTATAGATTTGTAAAGAATCTTTGTATAGGAGAAGAAAAGATTTGAAAAATTATGAATGAAATTGAATGAAATTAAAGATATGAATGATGAAAAATTATTTAGAGTATTTTTTAATAGTGTTAGCACTCAGATCTTTACCTGATGATAAGTACATTTATTTAAAGTTGAGCTTATTTTTCTCTTGTCTTAGCTGACATTCACGTTCTGGTATTAAGTTATTTAAACCACAACTTTCCTAAACTTGTTTGAAACAGTCACACCTGTCTGACCCTGTTGAGTTACATATTTCTAAGGTGGTGGTGTCCTCTAGTGGAGATTATGGGTATCACACACACATGCACTTCTATAACACTGTAATGCTGCAGATACTTTTATTTATAACTCATAATTAATTAAACATTAAAATATTACAATTACTTAATATACTGTATTTTACATATTTTATTTGTTCTTACAAAAAGTTATATATTTTTATTTCCAATATTAATATATTGGGATGTTTTGCTGAGTGTTTCACCATCTGGGGTTAGTTTAGTGTTGTATTCTGGATAAAGTCTCCTAAGACAAAATTTTCTAAGACACACTTTTGGCAAGCACAAAAAAAAAAAATCTATTTCTTCCTCATATTAATTTAGTTAAAGTTGAAAAATGCAGTCTGTCTGTATTAGATAACTAAATAAATTTTTTACAAATCCAGTCTCAAACTGTGTTAAGACTGAGATGGCAACATGACCTGTTACACTTGTTCAGAATGTCTTTAATTTAATGCACATTATTATATTAAAAAAAACTAAATAACATTGAAATATGCTAAAAAAATAAATTGTACTTTGAGCTTAATTTTTAACATTGAAAAATCAAATTAAAACAAGCAAAATACTCTGTAAACTCTTCTCTGCATCTTCTGTTAGATGATCCAGGAAAAACAGTAAAATAAACGAGCAGCTTGCTTGAGGACATAGTTAGGGGATACTCACTTAAAACACTGGTTGTGTGGCCGTTCTCCTCGTCTGAGCTGCTAGTTTTAAATGATTTCTGTGATGACCGTGTCCTCAGCCTGGGTTTTCTCACACTCCTGCAGAGTTCCTTGCTGTTGTGGGTACACACGGATAAAACACCAATAATGTGAGAGGATTTCATGTAAGCTCCTACCACGTTTTGTAATGCATGGCGTGTACCGAAGATGTGTTT